ATGGAGTAAGTGAAGACAGGGGATGTAGAAAGAGGTAAGTGGAACACTGCTGCAGGCTTTCGCTACAAGGACACTTGCCTAATTAGGTGAATATGAGCTTTCGTCAGTGTCTCATGGGAAAAGGAAACACCCCTGGACCTCCTCCATAGGGAGAATTTTTTTTTTAAATTTTTTTTAATTTTTTTTTTTTTTTTGTCTTTTTCCGTGTCCGGCAACGGATCGCAACCCTCAGGGGAACTAAAGGACTGCATCCTCACGGTCTGGGTGAACCAGAAATAAACCTGTCCCCTTCTCTGTTGGGTGTAGGGTTAATGGAGATAAATTCTAAATCCAGATAATTATAAATAGATTTTTCACATAGAATGTCCAGGAGCACATCCAGAAGTCGTGGAGAACCCAGGATCATTCTTGCCCACCAAATGCCAGTAGCACGTCCTTATCATTGCTATAGACAAGAAAAAATTATAATAATTTTCAAAATGTCCCCGTGCAGAACCACTGCCCCATACTGCACTGGGGCCAATTTGTGGAGGACTTTTTTTTCTTTTTAAAGATGACTGGTAAGGGGATCTTAACCCTTGACTTGGTGTTGTCAGCACCAGGCTCAGCCAGTGAGCCAACCAGCCATCCCTATATAGGATCCTGAACCCGTGGCCTTGGTGTTATCAGCACCGCACTCTCCCCGAGTGAGCCATGGGCCTGGCCTTGTGGAGGACTTTATTCTCTGTTGTAAAAAGTTAGATTTTATCTCGAGGGTGAACAAGTGGGAAACCATTGAAAGGTTTAAGCAGAGAAGTGCCATAACCCACTTTGCTTTCTAGAACGATCCTTCTGATTGCAGTGTGGAAGATGTATTAGACGGGGCCAGGCGGGAGCCAGGAATACCAGTTGGGAGGCTGCTATGGAAGTCCAAGTGAGAGATGACACTTGCCTGCACTGAGTGGCCACTCAGCACCGGCTGCGCACAGAGGCTTGGGAGGCTGGTCTGCCTGTCTGCAGAGCCCAAGGCCTCTTAGTTCTTCCCACTACTGAATAGGGGGAGACCTTGGGCCAGTTATCCAACCTCTACCAGCCTCATCTGCAAAATGGAGGTAAGAATAAATAGAATGCATTCCAAGTGTTTACATACATGAAAAGCACTCACTAAACTTAGCCATGATCATTATTAGCGTATCAGCAGTGGAGGTGGAGAAAAGTAATTCTAGAGATATGTAATTCTAGGGACTGAAGAGAGGGAGGAGCCAAAGACGATTACTAAGTTTCTGGCTTGAGCT